TAATTTTGCAAACGATTAAGCGTCGGTGCAATATGTTTATTTGATTCGATTATGAATATAAACCCATAATTGTGTACTGCATTATAAATCTTCAAGCTGTGTCATTATCAAATATATCCCTACTCCCCATATTTAGAGCTCACTATACGTTAAAACGAGCGTTTAGAAGATGCTGTATTTTCACTGTTCCTTACCTCATGTTTTCTCGCAAAACTTGGAAACGAGATTTCTCTACCTGACCGAATGCGTCAACTCATTCAGCATATCGATGACTGTCACAACCTCATAACTACTCATAAATAAGACGGTCTGTTCTCAGAAGATGCGCGTGTTGGAAGCTACCGGGAAAGACATTGTTTTACAAACAAGATCGCATAGTCATTCCTATCGGTATTTTAAGTAATTATTGTAGTATTTTATTTCTGATATAACTGGTATATATGTACCGTTTTATGTTCTGCATTGATATTTTTATTTTCGTATATATTATTTTGATACTGATTTCACTAACATTTGACCATTTCAAGTAAACTACTACAAGTGTCCAGAATGCGGCATGACCGTCGAGACGCCTAGCCAACTGCGCAGTCATCTGGTGAATCGCCACGTTCAGGCGCGCCCCTTTGCATGTTCCTTTTGCACAAAGAAGTACGAATGGCGGTGTCACCTTTGACGATTTCAAACGATCGAAGCATTTCGCTCTGATCTTGTTTCAGATTTAAGAACAAATGCGACGTGAAGCGTCACGAGGCGATGCACAATCAAAAGTCTATGCTAGAATGTAACCAGTGCGACCGCAAGTTTCGGTGGCAGATCTCCTTGCGAGCCCATCAAAAAATTCATGCCGTAAGTAAATCTAATTGAAAATTTATGAAAGTGCTCTCTTGTCTTGCAATGTTGTCTAACGGCGGTCGACGGTTTTAGCAAAACGGCAAGCAGCACTACGTGTGCCATCTGTGTCGTGCGCTGTTTTGGCGTGGCTATAACCTGAGCGTCCATCTGAGGGACAAGCACGACGTTTCCATCCCGCTTGGTCACTCTCGTTTCATGTACGTGCCGTGGTAACTTTTTATTTACTGCCTGAAAACAAATCAATTATGATTCAAAATTTCAGTACCTTGTAGTGTATCCGTATCATCCTGTAAGGAGTTTTTTTATGGTTATAGTATTTGTTCTTTATAACACATTTTTCTATTATTACCGCATTAACATGATCGTTGTTCGTACGCTAGAGCATGTCCAATAATGAATGATTAATCCTAGGTTAGATTTCAAGACGAATTACATCGCCTCATTGCTCCTAGTTGCCTTGAAGGCCATTTAAGCAGGCCACGGCTGAATGGTATTTGAGCACGTGCAGTGTCAGATGCATCTCTGATCTGGTCTTTGAAATTTGGTCGTGGAGCAGTTATGCTTTATTTGGCATACATTTGAATACGAACAACTTATTGAATTTTTCCCATGAGGAACACGAACTACTAAAACGTAGTTCATAATGACCCAGAGGTACCTCAGGAATTGCAGCTGTTCAAATGCTGTGGAGCTGTGGCCTGCGTGAATGGTTTTTCTAAACAACTACGAGCAATTGGGCTGTGCAAAATCGCCGTGAAATCTGATTTTTTAGTAGTCGTTCGTCATTTAATATTTGTTTACATTTTCTTATCACAACCTTCATCATCTTTCTTGATAATCTTTCCTTTCGGGTCGCGCAGACATACATGTCATACAATGCTTCAACGTTCCTGATCCTTTGCCAGAGTCTGAGCTTCGGCAGGAGACCACTGGAGTCTGGAACACACTCCTTCCATATATTTGCACCAGGTTACTCTTAGCCGTCCCCTTGGCCTATTCGCCAGATGGTTGGGCAACAAATAGTTGCTTAGCTTTCCTCTCTGGAGGCATTCGCAGCATGTGACCAAACCAGTTTATCTGTAACTTCCCAATTTCCCTCAAGAAATAGTGCTGTACACCAAGGCTGTACGCTTAAGGCCAGCGACTCGTCTCAGAAATCTCATTTCAGCCGCTTGCACCCGCATTTGAAGTTTTTCAGCCATCGTCCATGACTTGTGACCTCATGTATGCATGGGGATAAAGATCGACATGAATATTGAGAGCTTAATTTTCAGACTAAGCTCTGCTTTACTCACAGTGGGTCAGGCTAATTCACTTAGAACGCCACTGGCTACTCCAATTCGCCGGTCTATCTCTTCCTCCAATTTTCCATCACTAGTAAATACAGTTCCGAGGTACTTGAACTTCTCCACCTGCTCCA